CTTTGAATGTCAAAACACAGAAGAGGTGTGATGTTACCATCTGCACTGACCACAAACAGGACTACCAGAAACACAACCTCCTGTCAGCCATAACTCCTCCAACGGTCTCTGCTTCTATCGCTTTACCAGTCACAGAACTGGATCCCCCCACTTGCTGTTTTTGTTTCACCTGATATTACTTTAACAAACTTTCTCATGTTATGATCACTGAACGTTTTCTGATCCAGGAACTGCTTTTATGTTAACAAAATCCAACCCAGCTTCAGCTAGAGTTCTCATGATTGGAACGTCATTTTCCAAGCCCTGATCCAGGATCTTTGTCTTTATTTGTTTCTTCTGTCTCCATCCAGATCTCAGAATCAGAGCATCAGTTTGAAAAGAAATTAGGTGAAAGAGGAAGTGCTTTTTCTTGCTTGTTAAAAAAGATGTGAAAACATTGCGTCGCACTGTCTGTAGCAGTCATTTGAAAAGCATTTGGAGAAAGAGAGGTTTGTTCTGACCAAATTCACGAGTTAACAATCCGAAAGCAACAATTACCGTAGTCCTAAAACGACTCTAAACTAAAGAATTAGCTGGAGTTTAATCCACATGGTGTTTCATAACTCTTTACACATCAACATTATTATGAAATTCCAGCTGAAAGTGTAACACGTGGAGCAAGATGTGCTGCAGAATCCATGAAGGCTACGCCTGAAGAACACATGATGCTTTGTTTACTGCTTAATGGGTGTCAGGGCAGGAACTTTATATTAAATATCTTCTTTTATCTTCTCAGCTCAATTCTAGTCAATCTTCAAACTCTAAACGAGTGGAGGTAAAGTGAAACCACCGCTGCTCATTTAGAACCACATTTCAACACTGATCCATTCACTTGTGGGACCTCAGTTGGTCTACGGCCTCTCACACCCAACCGGCCTGGCCCGTGAAGAGGAAAGAGCTCACACTCCTGGAACTGTCGACACCTTCCAAACAACAAAAGAGTGTAACTAGTCCTGCATGAGAAGGTTTGCTTATAACCTCTCCTGTAGTAAGACTTTATTATTACCAGTGTTGGGAACGTTACTTTAAAAAAGTAATTAGTTATATTTACTGATTACTTTGTCAAAAAAGTAAATCGGTTACTAACTGAGTTACAAGATTATGAAAGTAACTAATTACCAAGAAAAATAACTACTTAGTTACTTTTTTCATTAAAGCATGCAATAATTACTACAATAGTGAAATATAAATGACTAATGACTGGAACATAATAAAATGTATGTCCAAATGTTTTTTATAAACCTGAATATTTTAAATAAATAAGCACTTAACAGGAGGAACTACTAATAGGAACATTACACTAATCTAGACTGTTAAAAGGTCACTGTGTGATATTTAACAAGACCCCAATCAGCTAAAATTTATAATTGCAAATAGAAACACCTGTAAAGGTTCCCGAGCCTTTAAATGGTCTCTCAGTCTAGTTAAATTACAGAAATAAATGTAATTTTGCACAGCATTCTAATTTTTCCAGCTTCACATAATTGTGTGTTTTTAGCAGCATTTCTGTTGCTGCTAATCTAGTAATGGTTAAATAAATAAATAAAATCCTTTAAAATGACACTAGAAGAGGCACAAGCTTGATGGAGGACTTACATTTACTAACTTGGGTCAGACCCAACCACAGAAGAGCTGAAGCTGGGTGGTGAACACACACACAGGTAGTTCTAATAACACCTGAGCACCATGACGTCTGAGACTGATGCATCAGTGTTACAGCGGAACTAAAGACATGATCAGGAGCAGGTTACAGCTGAAGATCAGGACGTCTGAGCGGTGAACAGGTGAGCGGACCTTCGGGACGTCCCGCTGTCACGCTAAGAAGGGCACGGCTGCAGACCCGCAGATTCGCTGCTGCAGCAACAAGTCTGTGGGGGTCTGCAGCCGTAGATATTCATCACGTCTTCCTTGTTCTTCCCAGGCCGTGATGCGCTTGGATGAAAACATCTGCCTCTTTAGCTCCTGATCAGCTGATGACAGCTTCAACACACCGCGCTGCTTAACGCACGCATTTCCTTATCAGTAGCAGAAATGATCGTTTTGTTTAAAGAAGACGGTAATTAGTTTGCTCGTTACAGAAAGAAATATTTTTTTTATTAACGTGGTTATTTTAAACGGCGTTATTCCCATCACTGCTCTGTTGGGTCTACAGCAGGCAGAGACTGAGACAGTGAGAACACTGAGGGTCTCCGCCCACCCGGCCAATCATCATCGTGTTTGTAAGTGCGTTACCGACACCTCTCTCTCCCTGGCTGCAGCTGAAGTGTGGCGGTCAGAAAGCCTCACACTGCTGCTCAACGTTCGACGAGCACATAGTAACGCACAACCTTCCGTCCCCAGTAACGGTAACGGCGTTGCAACAGTGGGAAAAGTAATTAATTAGATTATTCTGTTACTTAAAAAAGAACGCCGTTAGTAAAGCCATTATATTTAAACGGCGTTACTCCCAACACTGGTTATTACATGCCTAGTTTGCTGAGTTCCTGGTTAGTAAAGGTGGGTAAATCCTCTATAGAAGTAGGATTGGAGAATTCTATGTGTTCTGTTAAGTCTCTTTCAATTCTGATGGCAAATTATTTGGATCTCTCCCACTAATATATTTAAATTTTTCATCATGGGTGTTTCTCAATGTCAAGGAACCTTACTTTGATGCCTTGGTCCCGCACTAGTTTCCTAGGAGATACGTCATCAGGAACCGCCAAGGCGTGTTCGATTGTTCATGTTCTACGCAATCATCTGTTATCAGTTGGTTAGCCGTTAAGCTAACTGATACACGGGATACACAGAAGGTGCCTTGCTGCCTTACATCAGTCAAATAATTCCCAGAATACAGCACAGTATTTTCAAAAGGATGGCAGATCAGGGGCAAGCAGCTTCTTCGTGGGCAAATTTCCAGTTTAAATGTAAGTCGACTAATTGTAGCTGTCAGGATGATAACTAAAATAGATCCAAAGCAGCCATCTATGGTTGGTTAGTTGCTTAAGCCGGGCGTACACTGTGCGACTTTTTCACTTTTTTGAGCCGATTTTCCACTCGTGCGAGAATCCACGAGATCGGGGCGAGTTTTGCGCCGAGCGGTCGTGTAGTGTACAGGGGGTTACGAGAAGCGATTAACACCACGTGACCAGCTACCGATCAGCAATCGTGAGCTCGCACGGACTTCTGGCGTGTTTGATATTTTGCTCGTCCCTCGTGAGGGTATCGCACTGTTGAAGCAGCGCTGCGAGCAGCTGCGACCCTAAAAGCACCAGAACCGCTCACGGCGCATGCGCAATCACGCATCAACACCGCTCGCCCGCTATTTCCCTTTTATTTTATTATTATATCCCATTTATTTAAAAACATTTATTTAATAACACACGCTGTTCGTTTTTGTTTCTACACATTTTTTTACTCACAAAGATTGTCAAGAAAGCGTGTTTGTCGTGTTCATGTCAAATTAAAGTGATCACAAAACACAGATTTACTTTCTTTATTTCGTTTTCCTCATCCAACCCCCATAAATCCCTGTGTGTCCTCCTGCAGCACTCCTGAAGGACAACAGGCAAGACAAGACAAAAAAGTCTGACGTGTTGAGTAAAAACTGCTATTTTTAGCATATTTTTAGGTCCGACGTGTTGCTACCAGACGTACAGTGTGAGCAGTCAGGTCGCATCCGAGAACTGGGTCGTGCAGAGTGAGCACATGACTCGTGAGATCTGCCCTGCGAGGAAGTCGTACAGTTTGAGCTGAAGTGGAGTGCTACGAGTGAAAATGTCGCACAGTGTCCGCCCGGCTTTAGTGGCTGCAGCTTCGGTGGTTAGAGGGTTCTAACTCGCTCACATTTTCAATTTAACACAATAAAAAAATAAAAGGCTCGTTATACAGAAATGTATAAGCATAGAATATAACTTTACCACACGTGTCAGGTGACGTGACCGCCTCAGAAGCCGTGGTCACGTGAGGCAAGTCTGTTCCATTTCACCGTTTTCTTAGACCAAGGCGCCTATCCTAGCAAGACATCGCCCTGCTAGGCCAGGTGCTTTGACAATTGAGAAACACCCCATGATAACACCTCACCTTCATGTTTGGTGGTTTTAGCAAGATCTCCAGAAGCATCTGTTGGCAGAAGACCAAGTATTCCTCCCTAAACTGCAGACTGGTGTCCACCAGATAGGCACTGTAGATATGGCTAGGCATGATGGGAATATTGATGTTGTGTAAAATTTACAGAAGTAGGAAGGGTTATAAAGCAGCAGTTGCATGAAGTACTAAAGAGGTTTCATTTAGACGTTAGCGTTATTTTAACACGGCAGTAATCCACCATTATTAGCAATTAGCTTGCCACTGCAGAACTTATTTGTATTTCTCCAACATGAGGCTGTTCAGCGAGCTATCCGTGATAGATAAGATGTTTAATAAAACCTCGAAAATTTCTGAAGTGTCCCTTTAAGTCAAGGAACGCGATGAGCAGCTCCAAACATCTCTGTGAGACGCAGGAGGGAAGCAGACACGCTGAGGAATGTTATTACTGTGCAGAAACCTGCTAACAAATCCTAATCTGGTCCAAGAAACGTTTTCTGTCAACACCAAGCAGCTGCAAGTGTACACATATTGCACAGATGTGTGTTCTCTCTCAGACAATGAGACCGGGTTGGAGAGGACGTTTCGATAAATTACTGACTGAACTGTATGCAGAAGAAATATTAATTGTGTCTGAGTCGCTGATTGAGTTCAGATGGGACACCTGCTCAGACATGGCGCAGATTCAACCATCTGCTTACAGAAACTTAGTAAACATAATTAACTTCATGCCATCTAAATATTATAAAATCTTTATCACTGTAAATATATAATGTTGAGCTAAAAAACGGCCAAAGTTTGACGGATAAATTCCTGTTTTCATTCACGCCAGTCATGATGCTGCTGTCGGTGAGTGACGGGCACTGACAGCTACCAGAAAACCTTCCAATGCAAGCAAATGTAACACAAACAGTACCTGCTCAGACAGAATCAAGAAACCACTGCAGAATATGAAATCAGAAATGTTGTGTCAATGTGCAGCAGGGTTTAGCGACGCGATAGCTTAGCATGAAAGGATGAGGTGAAACCAGAGAAGCTGTTAAGATGCAGACGTGCGTGTGATGAAGCGGCACTGAGCTGTGACAAACAGAGAATGTGATGCGTAGATAACAGCCACTTCAGGGACAAAACCCTTAAGTAACAGCCTGGAGATGAAACATGGCGAATTAAATGACTAATTAAAAATAACCTGCATTTTAGATGAATTTGGAGTCAGTGCATTCTAAATTGTTTTTAAATGTTGCAGAGTTTACCATCAGCGTGTCTCGATGTTCATCCTGTAAGTGTGTGTTCTGAGTGTGTACAGCCAACCCGATAAGAATCAGAAAAACACATCTGTTTGCTCACGCTACGGCCACCTCTCCGCTCATGGTTACCATCTCACTCCCCATCCCAAAGGAAGATGCTGTTGACACGACATCAGCCGTCAGAGATGACTCTAGGAAGCACAACTCTGCAAAAAATGAGACTGAAGCTGTTTAAGGTGAGTAAGCAGACACAACTAAAGGGAAGGTTTTGAAAAATACTTGAATCTTATAGCAGCGAATTGTAATATTAAATAAGCATAAATAAATATTTTAACGTCTGACGTTTCTGTAGGCTAAGAGCTTCATCACATGGCAATGCTAATACAATTTTCTACATGATAATAAACAAAATACTGTAGCATGCTGCATTGTCGGCACTTTTAGTGATTTATTATTTACTTTAAGGAATGAAGTAATTTCCTTTTTCTTCTTCCTTTGAACTGAATTGCGTGTGTATGAGATGTGCTTCATAAATAAAGCTGCATTGTCTTCCAACTGTAGCCACTGCTCTCAGGCTGATGCCTTCATTGACCCTCTGCATTGACCTTTCTGCTGCCCTTCCTTCTGTGGTTTCCCTCCTTTTTTCTGTGTTCTCATCCTGTCCTCACTTGCTTGCCATCCAGGTATGACATCTTTGTTGTGCTCGTGCAGGCTTTGCATCTGTCTGCACGCTGTCTGCATGCTGTGGATGACTTGGGATGCTTTTCCATCACCCTTTTATTACACACCGGGTTTTTGCGTGTTGCTGGCCAGCTTTAGATGAAAGAGACTCAGAGAAGCTGTAGGTTTGTAGGATTAGCATGCAGCCAGCATTAGGCAGCCTGTACAACACAGCAGTGTGGTTTTGTTTGTGTTGGAAGTCATCCAGATCTGCCTTCTCTCATCGTGCTCTTGTTCTCTTTTTTCTTGATGCGATAGTCAGCCCCAACCATCATCTTTAAAGTCATTTCTGATCAGAGTCAGAGATGGGTGCATCTTTTTGTCCTCATTCATTTCAGTAATTTACTCACATTTCTAAGGGCTTCTTTTAAAAAACAACTTTCAGATATGTTATCTAATTTACTTTCTCTCTGGCTCCAGATCCTTGTTACCCTCCTCAAACCTTCGACATATTTACAGAATCACTTCTGTGTCTTTCCTCCCCTGTCTTCGTTTTCATCCCTCCACATTTGTCTCCCATCCTCCGTGTCTTTATGAGCTGTAATAATTGTCAGTTAATGGAGCCGAGTCTTCGGTCTGGCATGGAGAAAAGCTGGCCTGAAGCAGTAAAGCCTGTTATTCTTTCCTCCCCTGTCTGGCATGTGTGGAGAATGGAGCGAGCATCGAAGCCCTCACTGATGTAATTTTAGCTCCTCGGACTGAGTCAGCCTGTAGGAGTGAGAAGGTGAGCCTGGTGCTGTGATGAGCAGAACGTTGGGCGTGAGACGGAGATTTGATTCTTTGTTACTGTCAGGTACGCAAAGAACAATGAGTGTGTAGTGATTCAAGATCTTTTTATTGTCATTGCACAGGTGTACAACAAAATTGACGTTGCGCTCATCAGAGAGAGCTCATATGGAGGAATTAAAATCTACGTAAAATAAAATAACAATGCTAAAATAGAACACACACACACACACACACACACACACACACACACACACACACACACACACACACACACACACACACACACACACACACACACACACACACACACACACACACACACACACACACACACACACACACACACACACACGTTTAATGTGCAAAAACAATTTTACATCCCATACTTTACCCATGTTAAAGGGAGACTGAGCAGTTTGGGCTTGCTTAAAGCATCCCCAGTGTCCATTTAGTAGAACCAAAAGCAAGCCAATCTCCTCGCTGTGCATTCCTCCTTTTAATAGAGGGTGGTGGGGTCTGAGTGACTTTTCATTAATGGTCTCAACACACTGGAGGCGACATCGCCTCTCCTCCATTCATCTTCAATGAGACGTGCAACAAAGCGATAATCGTGAGTCTATCTCCTGCAATGCGACGCGTGAAATATGTGCATGTGAAATTTTGCACTCGTGCACATGTCGTGCACAGGCGAGCCAGCTCTCTCACCAGATAGTTGAGAAAATTTCAACTTTTCATCGCTGTCGCTCGGACAAGGACCAATCAGCGGAGGTTCCATTGACTGACCAACGAGCGGATAGGATGCTTCTCAGCACATCTCCAGGTAAACATGAAGGAAAAGTTAATACTTGCCATGTTGGATTTTCCAGAGCTTTACAACATTTCTGCAAAAGAATATAGAGATCTTCACAAAAAGGTAGCAGCATGAGAAATTGTTGGTGCCAGAATAATACACACGCAAACAGTTGTGTAAGTGTATCTAGTGCAATCGTAAACTTGAATAAACGACATTTGTGTATTATATAAGATATAATTAAGAGCTTAACCCTCCCACTGTCCTAATGGGTGACCCCGTGAGGAAAGTTGACCATGGAGCAGGGTTGATGGTTTATCCCTTGGGTCCATGTGGCAGGGGTGAGGAGTGAGCACCACCTCACCCCTGCCACATGGACCTCAAGAGATAAACCATCAATCCTGCTCAATGGTCAACTTTCCTCACGGGGTCACCCATTAGGACAGTGGGAGGGTTTAATAACCCAAATTTCCCTCAACCTGACAGTCAAAACAAAGAAAGACTCGCTACTCTCCCTGGAAAAGTGTGCGTCACTGGCTTTTGCTGCTGGCCGATACCACATGTCGCCGCTTGTTTGTCAGGTCATGAAAGTGACAGCAACGAGTTTTGCTGATCGCAGTCATTTGTCACTTCCCGTGTGTCGCCCATAATAACCACGTAAAGGTATGGAGCTAGGATTGGGACAATATTACAAGTAACTTGCACCAAGTTTTGTAACTTATAACACACTTTGTAACTGTAACGTTTGTGTAGTAGCATGCATTTCTCATTTTAAAACATGTAACATTCATTTTGCAACACAATTTTCGTTTTGTAACATGTAAATGTCAGTACTTGACATGAAACTTTGATTTTGTAACTTGCAGAAAGTTTTGAATCACAACTCTCAAAACACACATCTCAGTCTAGTCACAAAATTTAAATCTACGTGTTACAAAACATTTTGTCCAAATTCAAGCTTCCCTTCCCAAAGAACCAATGACAGGCTTTGTCTGATCAGCCTATCATGTGTCTTGTATTCCTTGCATACATAATACATTTTAGAGAAATTTAACCGATATAAATAAAGAACCTACATTGTGAATTAAAGGAGGATTTCATATCCGAGACACGATTGCCTGATAAGACAAAGCCTTGGTTCTTTTTGGAAGGAAGCTAGAATTGGGACTAATTGTTTTGTAACACGTAGATTAAAATTTTGTAACTGTAGACTGAGAAGTGTGTTTTGAGGGTTGTGATTGAAACTTGTACATTGATGTATTTTCTGCAAGTTACAAAATGAAAGTTTGATTTTATGTACCAAAAGTTACATGTTACAAAATGAGAATTACATGTTACAAAATGAAAGTTACAGTTACAACACTTGGTACAAGTTACTTGTAATATTGTCCCAATGTTAGCTCCACATTTTAAAGGGTAATTTTGGCACATACTGACTCAAGAACATGATATAAAATATAAAAATGTTGTCTAGTATCCCTTTAACGTTAACCTGGCTTCTCTTCACTCAATTTAAATACTCTATTACTTCTTTTTAAACTCAAACTGTCATGTTGTGGGTAAGCTGTTTCACCCAGGACATGAAGAACCACACACGGAGAACAAAAGTAAAATAATATGATTCTATTAAATAAAGGTAAGGGGAACTAAGGATGCTGCTCCTAAAACGGGAACAGGAAGGGACCGGTATCTACAATGAGAAATAAACAAACATGAGGATCAGTCAGAACCAGAGAACCAAGAGCAAAGCTATTCTGGAAATGGTTCTTACGGTCAGAGACCAGGGGCAGGTGGGGGTGGGGATGGACTGGGTCAGGTCTAGGAGCGAGGAAGTGGTTGCGTCAGTGGACGAGGAGGAGATGAGCAGGAGGCGGTAGTTGATGCCCAGGAGGCAGGCTGGAAGACAGGCGGGCGGTGGAGAGCGGAGACCAGAGGATTCTGAACGACGTGGCATCGAGAACAACTCCAAGCACAGGTAGGTGATTCAATGGTGAGATAAACTGGAGACAAGAACAACAGGATCTTTCAAAAATACTTCACAGGTATACAGGGATCTAAGACTAGGCTGGAAGCTACCCTTGGTGAGAGCATCCACCAGCGCTGGAGTTGTGTCACACTGCTCCTTAAATCCCCTGGCCCTCTGATTAATGAGATCAGGATCAGATGAGGTTCTCCAACACGCCCACCTGTAACACAAAGACTGAAGCAAGCCAGGTATCTTTAACAGATGATTAAGGCAGACCGCGACAAACTACTTCTTCCTGAAGGGCTCTTTGTACTCTTACCTAAAAATCTTCTACTTACTGTAGATTAATGATGGGGACACTGTCACAGTGTAAGTTGTTGTATGACCCAAGTGCAGGTGAAGGGATTAAAAAATACTTTTAATAACAGAAAACACAGAAATAACCAGGGCAAGGCTGGGAACAGTAGTAAAACTGGTGTGTCTAATTATTGACAGGGGAGTTGGAGGAAAAAACAAAACAACTGAAACAGATCAAAAAGAAATGTTCTTAATATTAACAGTTATTGGAGGCTTGGTCATGAGTGACAACAAGCACTTTCACACTGATTCAGACAAATTCCCTGGGCTTAGTTGGCAAACACACACACACACACACACACACACACACACACACACACACACACACACACACACACACACACCGACACACACACACACACACACACACGTGTATAAACAATGAGGAAGGGTGCCAGATGTGTTAACATTGATATATGGATAGATGCTACATCTGCTCTCACTGAGACAATGCAGGCCATAAAGGCTGGATCAGTCGTTACCATTGACAACGGTTTATTTATGAATTGTTTGATAGATTTGCTCTTAGCTTCTTGATTTGAGGGCATTCAGTGCTTGCATTTTAGTTTACCTTATCAGCTGTCTGGAGACTGTTTAGAGCTCCTTAATTGCTGCTTTACTGCAGATGTTTTGGAGTCTCAGCTTCTTTTTTGTCTCCTTCTCTCTCTTTGCAGTTGTTGTTTTTTTCAGTGTGATTGCTGTCTTTTAGTTTTGCCCTAATCTGTTTTCTCTTTCGGTGAGCATGTGGTTCTGTTCTCTTTTCTTTGACTTAGTGACACCTGGAAGGAGATCAGCGTTTTCCAGGATTATCTTTTCTTTGCATTTTTCTGTCTTTCTACTGAACAAACAAAGTAAGAACTTATGCTGATAAGGGCTTTACTTCCTCTACTAAGTTAAAAAAGTTGAATTACTAAGACTGAGTTGCTTTATGTGAAGTAAATCTAAAAATGTGGAAAGACTCACTCACTCTCACCATAACAGCTCAAAGTTGGGTTGTGGGGAGATGGTGCGTTTCCCCAGCAGTCAGTGGGTGAGAGGCAGGCGACACTCTGCAGGTTCCTCACAAAGACACAAAGAGACTAATGCTTACTCACACCAAGGGACAATTCAGATTATCCAGTTAACCTGCTATACTTGTTTTTGTTCTGTGGGAGAAAATTCACAAATGCATGAAGAGGAGATAAAAACTCTGAGCAGAAAGGCTGCAGCCAGGATTTGAACCTGCAACCTTCTCGCGGCAAGACAACAGCGTGACTAACTGCGTCACCACGCATCACACGTGCAACGACATTTAAGGTACAAATATGACAGGACCTGGATTGTTACTGACGTGCTGCTGGAATTCAGAAAAAACATTACAAAGCTTCTACGTGGTGACCGGCAGCCTTCTCATCAGAGCTGTCAAGGATCTTCAGTTGAAAACGAAAGAAAAGACAAGAAGCAGGCTTTTGAAGCCCCGCCTCGACATGTTCAGCTTGGCTCCCTGCAACAGCTCGCTAATGCACCCTCCATTTAGTTCCGAAAAGTTGTACAAAGTTACAAACACCACAGGGAATTGTAAGGCAACACTACGCTGGGTTTTTCCCGTTTCACAAGTGCAGCAATGGAACATAAAAACCTCCAGACAACACACCCTTGGCATAAGAAATCTTTTTAAAAAGAGTAACTGAAAGGTGCTTTGTGTGCAATATTCTGCAGGGAGTTTGGTCTAATAATCAGCGGGGTTGGGTGAGTTCATTTTCTAAACAGGACATCAAGGAACGGTGTATTAATCACAGCATGTGTAACACTGTCACACTTCCCCCCAAAGTGGAAAAACATCATTGCGGTCAGAAAGGGGGTTACCTCTCTACGACCGACTCTTGTGTCTCAGGAGCCTGCATTCTGATGCATGTGTGGCAACGAACACGCATGCACACATAAATACATGCTTAAACATTAGCAGTGTTGACAGAGCAGCAGAGCGAAGCGCAAAACACAGGTTTCGCTGTTCCAGCAGGGCAGAGGATTCAAGTGTTACCTAATGTCTGAAAACGTTGTGAAAGGATTTTATGACCATCATCTTAAAGGTAAAGCTCAAACATTTGGAACTGGGGTCATGGGGAAAAATGATGAGCAATCGTCTTTGAGATAGCTCGATAAGATAACGGCTAGTCCATTGTCCAAAAGTGGGTTACAGCTGTCCTAAAGCAACCCAGTCTCAGACATGTCATGCAGGTTCCTGCCGTGGTTGCTTGTGAGCAGCAGTTGACTCTAGAACTTCCACAGTGGCCTGGTCCATTTCCAACAATAAAATCATTATGCTTCTGCACTAGTAACGATGGAAACTTGTGGTGAGAGTGAAAGATCATCTTACAGTGGGTATGGAAAGTATTCAGACCCCCGTCAGTTTTTCACTCTGTTATATTGCAGCTTTTTGTTAAAATAAATTAAATTAATTATTTTCCTCATTAATATACACACGGCACCACATATTAACAGAAACACACAGAATTTTAGAAAATTATTGTCATGGTTCTGCCTTTTTCTCTGCTGATTGTGCTCCTAAGTGTTTTGCAGGTGGGCGAGTCGGAGAGTCACAGCTGCAGCTGATTTCCATCAGCAGGGCCAGAGGATTTAAGGAGCGGCATTGCCACACTTCAGCACCGGTTGGTACTCTATTGTTGGGTACTCTAGCCTCACCACGTTCTGTTCCAGAACTCTGAATAGTGTGTGTTCCTGTGCTCATTTAAATCTTCCTTGTCTGCTCCAGTACCAACCCTGGATTCTAGCCTCGGTTCCTGTCTGCCTGAAGTGTGCCATACTTTCAACGTCGCTCAGCTCCTCTGGCCTCCCGCTCTCCACCGCTCACCTGTCCTGGATCGTACACTTCTACCTGCTACTCCTCTCCACCAGACAATCTCCAGCTCAGACCTGACTTGCCTCCCTCTCCTGCTCAAACCCCCGCTCCGTACCGTAAGACTCTTCCACCATTATCCTGCTGTGTTTTCCTGGTTCTCAGTTTACTGTATTCATCTCGTTACCTTTTGTTTTAGAATCGGAGTTAACCCTCCGGCCCAGTTTGGATCAGCGCCCTTCGTTCTCGTGAATTTTCTTTATAATAAAACATTTGTACTTTTACTTACCTCTCTCTCCGTGTGTGATTCTTTCATGTGGGTAAAAAGACTTCAACCCAGCATGACAATTATGCAGATTTATAAAAATAAAAGAAAACTGAAATATCTCAGGGTGCTACGTAATCAGACCCTTTGCTCAGTATTTAGTTGAAGCACCCTTCTGAGCTAAAACAACCAACGAGTCGTCTTGGTAAAGATGCAGCAAGTGTCTCACACCTGGACTTGGGGATCCTCTGCCATTCCTCCTTGTAGATCCTCTCCAATTCTTTCAAGTTAGATGGTGAAAATTGGTGGACAGCTCAATTGTGTTTAAGTCAGGGCTCTGGCTGGGCCATTCAAGAACAGTAAAGCTTCTCCTTTGTTAATTTAGCTGTGTGTTTAGGGTCATTGTCATGTTGGAAGGTAAACCTTTGGCCCAGTCTGAGGTCCTGAGCACTCAGTAGAATGTTCTTGTCCAGGATATCCCTGTATGTGGCCAAATTCATCGTTCCATTGATTGTAACCAGTCCTGTCCCTGCAGTTGAAAGACACCCCCACAAAATGATGCTGCCACCACCGTTCTTCAACGTGGAGACTTTATCGGACAAGTTATGAGCAGTGCCTTATTTTCTCCACACATACCGCTTAGAATTAAGGCCAAAAAGTTCTATGTTGGTTTCATCAGACCAGAGAACCTTAGTTCTCACCATCTTGGAGTCCTTCAGGTGTCTTTTAGCAAACTCCATGCAGGCTTTCATGTATCTTGCACTGATGAGAGGCTTCTGACTATCCACTCTGCCATAAAGCCCTGACTGGTGGAGGGCTGCAGTGATGGTTGACTTTCTACAACTTTCTCCCATCTCCTGACTGCATCTCTGGAGCTCAGCCACAGTGGCCTTTGGGTTCTTCTTTACCTCTCTCACCAAGGCTTTTCTCCCCCGGTACCTCAGTTTGGCTGGACGGCCTGCTCTAGGAAGGCTTCTGGTCATCCCAAACTTCTTCTGGAATATGGAGGCCACTGGGCTCTTAGGAACCTTAAGTACTGCAGACATTTTTGTAACCTTGGCCAGATCTGTTCCTTGTCACAATTCTGTTTCTGAGGTCTTCTGTCACGGTCTGCCCCTGCCTCCCTGACTGTGTCTCTCTCCTGCCCGTGATTAAGTCCTCATTGTTTTCACCTGCCCCTTGTTTACCTGCCCATGTGTTCCTCATTTGCCCTGTGTATTTATACCTCCCTCCTTGTATCAGTCTTTGTCAGATCATTGTAGTTTTTTTGTCATCGTTGTCTTGTACTGTTCGTTCCCATTCCACCATTAAAACCATTTAACTTTACCTGAAGCCTGCATCTGTACCTCCTGATCTGCTCCACCACACATGGTCCGTCATCTCCACACCCGCAACGTGACATCTTCAGGCAGTTGCTTTGACCTCATGATTCTTGTTTGCTCTGACATGCATTGTGAGCTGTAAGCTCTTAGACAGGTGTGTGGCTTTCCTTATCAAGTCCAATCAGTATAATCACACACAAATGGACTCCAATGAAGGTGGAACATCTCAAGGATGATCAGAAGAAATGTAAAGCAACTGACTTAAATATGTATATGTCACAGCAAAGGCTCTGAATACTGAAGACCATGTGATATTTCAGTTTTTATTTTGTAATAATGCTGCAGGAGTTTCTGAAATTCTGTTTTTCTGTATATGGGGTTTGTGCATCAATGAGGAAAAATATGAATTTAACTGATTTTAGTGAATGGCTGCACTATAACAAAGAGTGAAAATATGACTGGGGTCTGTATACTTTCCACACCTGTTGTACATATAGGCAGCATGCAACTCAACAATGGGAATTATTGCACTTTTTCACTTGTCAAGTGCTAATGTTTTGAGATTGTCTCATTTTTGCAATTGTATCCTTCTTTTAACTTGTGTGACTGTAATGTGTCTTGTTGTTTGATAATGGTTCTGTGTAGCACCATTGTTCTGAAGGAAAGATACGGATTACTTTTCATGGTTTAAAACAGGGGTGTCAAACTCAAACTCACACGGGTCGAAGTGAAACTCTGGGACGGAGTCGAGGGCCAAACTTAATATTTTTTGAAAAAGTGACGGCAAATTTGCACGTTTTCTTTATCAACATGTATGCAATTTTGAACCTTTAAATTTGGAAACAAACATATTTCTGCATTAAAACTGAATGTGGAATAACCAAATTACACACGAGCAAGTCAGTTACAAATAAAACACATCAGTGGTATTCATTACTTGTGGTATATTCAGCACTTTTAAAATCTATTCAGGATTTATGTTTTCTTGTTTATTCATTTTTCTTATTTTTATTCTACTTTTTTTCTCCTGTAATAAGTGTCAACGCTGCTGTGACGTCTAGCTTTCCCCACTGAGGAACAATAAAGGGATTTTCTATTCTATTCATCTATCTGCAGCCTTTCCACTTCCTGTTTACTGTAGGTTAAATCTTTGCTCAAGTGCCAACAACAAAATAAAAATATCATTTTATCTTAAATGAAAATGCAACATCTCACCTGTTAACTTTCATGTTTTGGAGCAGAAAAAGAGCATAAAACCAACATATTTAAAGCTCAGTTTGCTCCACTGGTTTACTGTGATGCTCACCTGTTCCAGCCAGATACCTGCATCATGGGGTTGATCTGAACTGAGGAGGAGACTCCTGTTGTTTTGTTCATCTTCATCATAATAATGACAACATTAGATGACAACAGGTGCTCACATAGGTTTGTGCTGATGAACATGTCTGAGCAGCTTGACCACGTTGTTGTGTGTCGGGGAGGAAACACAACCACAGAGCTGTGCTGGTTTTAGCGTGTCGCTGCTGGCTGGAGTTATATCGGCTCTATCTGGAAGTTAGTTTGAAAACTTTCTCTTTAAGTCGTGAACACATTACTGAGCGGCTAGAATCTCCGTTTCTGGGTTTCAACGTCAGAAAACAGCTGAGTGAACTCGGCGCTGAGTGAGAGGAGTGGTTTGTCCGAGACAGCTGAGCTACAGACACCCAACTACCTCTGACTGCCTCGGCGCTGAAAAAACACAAAGGAGGGGGCACGTCTGCTCCGCACTGGCGCCGCAAAGCATCATGGGAGTTGTAGTCTTTGCTGTAAAATCGGCCAGCGGGCCAGTTTTAATATATTTTTGATATTTATCTCGCGGGCCACATAAAAATGCTCCGGGGGCCTTGACTCTGACATATGTGGTTTAAAACGACAATAAAACTACCTTTGACTTTGACTTCAAAGATAGAGAAAACAACATTAGCACAAACTGCTTTGAACATTTTCAAACTAAATATGTTTAAAATTGAGAAAAAATCCTCTTTGATCTCTGACTAGCCTTTAGCGCTTCCGTCCATTTTAGCAAGTATTTATATCTCCAAACTGAGGCTGTTCAAGTATGGCACCTAATTTTAATAACACCTTTCCACAGAAAATTATTTGAAAGATCTGAATTATTTCTGATCATCTGTGCCCTGGACAAGCTGAGCTCCATTCAGAACTTGAGACAGTTCTCCACACCTTCATCTCCTCACGCTTAGACTACTGTAACTCTCTTTTCACGTGTCTGAGCAGAACCTCCCTGAACCGTCTACAGGTGGTTCAGAATGCCTGTGCTCGGCTTCTGACCAAGTCCTCCAAACACACCCACATCACCCCGCTACTCCTCCAGCTTCACTGGCTGCCAGTCAACTTCAGGGTTCAATTCAAGATCCTGGTTCTGGTCTATAGGGCCTTACATGGACAAGCACCATCTTACATTGGTGATCTTCTTAGTCCCTACACCCCCAGCAGGTCCCTGAGGTCCAGTGATCAAAGCCTACTGGTTGTGCAGCACCAGGATAAAGACCAAAGGTGACAGATCATTTGCTGCTGTGGCCCCCAGACTCTGGAACTCTCTCCCCCTGAGCCTGAGATCAGTGGACTCAGTGGACTCCTTTATAAAACAGCTGAAAACTCACTTGTTCAAGCTGGCTTTAGCACAAGCTTCTGTTAACTTTTTCTTCCTCATTTGCTTCTTTCCATGCTGCCGTTGCATCCTTTCTGTAAATATTATTTCAGGCTCTTTTGTTTACTGTTTTCATTTTCTGTTTCAAATTTTAACTCTTTATATTTTAAAAGATAAGAATCCACACATTTCATTCTGCGATGTGAGAGCTTTATTTGTCGAGCTCTCGGTCAGAGAGCTCCGGATGAAGGTCTCTGACCGAAAGCTCGACAAATAAAGCTCTCACATTGCAGATTGAAGTGTGTGGATTCTGATCTTTTTGAATTCTACTTTGATCCAGCGCCTCACCCAGATGAGCGGTGACTCCTTCAACTCTTTATATTTTACATTTTTAATTTTAATTATATCGTCATTATCTTTATTTGTATATTTTTTTCTTCATGCTTGTAAAGCTCCTTGTGATTTTTATCTTGAAAGGCACAATATTAAAAAACTTTTCTTCGTCTTCTGCTAAAGTTTTGTTTCCTAACAGAAAAAATATGTAGGTGATATTTGTGCTCTAGCCTTGAAAGCTTCATGATTTATGTGAATATCCACATTACAACCATTTAGCAGTGCTGTTATGACACTATTTGGTGTTGCTGTTCTTCTCTCATTGTTTATTATGTGCTGACGCTTCCTTTGTGATGCAGCCAAACATCTTATTTGCCCACGAGCTGCTGGCCACAGGCTCCACGGCTCAACAAGAGGCCTGCAATTATAGCTCACTTCAAAGATGCCAGTCAGTCAAAGACAGCATTCATGCATTTATTTTGGCAACCCACCCCCCTTCACTTTTTCTTGCCTCCTCACCTTTCCACCTCCCACCCCTCACTCCTTTTGCCCTTCTTCCTTCTTTCCCACCAACCCTCGAGCTTGTTTAGATGAGCAATTAAGTAGAGAAACAAGTGCAAATAGAGTTTGGTTTGGCTCGCGTTCTTATTGACACACAGTGCGCTGAAATATTTCCCTGTGCAGTTTTCCCGTTGCCTAAATTTGGCCGTGGTGGATGTCGGCAAAGATGAGGGAGGTGTGGGTCTCATGTCCCAAGACAGGGAGGCTTCAGTCCCTGTCTGCGGCCCCTTCTCACCCCTCCACCTCCTCCAGCTGATCCTGAAATAAAACCTAAAGAGAGAGAGGGGGAGAGAGGACATGTTTAACCTCAGGCCATCTGCTCTTCTGAGCCATTAGACGTTCAATTAACACAGTAAACTGATAGTAAGCCGTGCCAACTTAGGACTGCTTCTCCGAGCATCAGGTTTTGCACATTTGAAACCTTTTTCAAACCACACAAGACAGCTCTAACTGTGAATGACAACCTTACATAACTATTTATTCAACGGGCATTTTATTTACTGCCAACCTTCATCTTGATCCCGACAAAGCCGTGTACATAAAAACGAATGCCGTGTTTCTGAAAGCTTGGCACTGCACAAAAGCTTTGAAGAGACCTGACTGGAGGTTTGACTGTCGAGGAACAGCCGGTGTATTCTCTACATAAAGTTCTCTTTATTGTGAGGGCATCAACGCATGTAAAAGTGATCCCATTTCAGAAAACTCTAGTTATCGACCATCTGCTGAGTGAGGCGGGGCTCCTGGTGCAGGGTTGGACCATGTGTGCACGTGTAAAAGCAGGTGTTCATTTGCTGATTTGTCTATTTTCAAGTATAGTTGGGTAGTCAGTGGGGAGTGCCTGTAAATGTTTGTTGTTAAAATGAATCCAGACACTAGTTCCTCCAGAGCAGAGCCACCCCTGGAATCTGAAACTCAATTCTGAAGTTGTGCAGCCAGGGTGATTAGGAGGGCCCACCACGCTGACGGTGTTACAGTTTGGCTCAAGTGTCCCATTCGTCACACCACGGAATGGCCCCGCACCACGCTGCCCCGGGCCAACACCCCGTTCACAGAGCTGTTTCTTGGGCAGAGTCAGGTGACCAAATGATGTTGCTATAGGAGTCTGTGTGACTCCCATGGGTGCAACTTATCCATCCATTTTGCAGTGGCTCCTCTAACTCGTTAAAAAAAATCACAGAGCTGTGGTGCTAAATCATCAGGCTGTCGCCCT